ACTTCCTATCAGTTGCATTTTGGGGAGGGGCAGAGAGTTGTTAGTACCAGTATGAAGACAATAATATCTCTGACATGGAAGTGGTTGGACTTAGGTGCTTTTGTTCCAAACACTCATGACTGGAAGGTGCAAAGTATTAATAAAGTCTCTTGTTTCTACTTGTAAGCAATTTGTAGTTAGTGGTATAATTATTTTATTATGTAATTACAGGCAGAAAAGGTATCAGTCCTATAACAAAAGAAGGTCAGATAAAGTTTTGCATCTAAACTTATTTAGTAATACATAACAGTAAACAGTTTGGGGTTTTTTTAATGTTTCTGAAAACCTGCATGAGCCTTCTTTGTGGTATTAAAGCTTGGTGCTCTGCAAGTCATTAATTTTCTAATCAATGTCTTTCTGGAGATCTTGTTTTGTTTTGCTGGGTTATTTTTGGAGAAAGCTAGATTACATCTTCTGCATTTATTAAAACTGCAACAAAACCCTGACATCTGAGATACGAGTCTAGGAATGTAATGTGTTTGAACCAAATGAAATCTCATTGCTGCTGATGGGCAGGTTGAGTGACTGATTGTGTAGATTGTATGCTCGTTCTTAAGTAGATTTCTTCTTGCTATTCATGTGTTTCTTTCCTTCTTAATTTTTTTTTCACCACCAGACTAATGAAATAGTTTTTACTCTATTATTTCTAGCAAAGCTGGGAACCTTTTTGAAAAGAATGCTGCACCAATTTTGCACTTATCTGGCTTGGATGTAACTGTGGTTAAGGTAAGGTGGTTCTGCTAATATAGATATATTGTCTGCTCTGCTTTGTCCTCCTGAGGAACTGAAAATAAAACCTGTATGCATTTGAAAGTCTCAGTTGTCCTGTAGACATCTCATGGGAAGAAATAAGTAGTGAGATATTAAGCTGGTACTTAATATTTTTCTTTTTAATTTGCAGTTAATTTACAAACAGTGTACTGAGCTTTTCATTTTCTGCTAAAGCAGTACATGTGCTTGTTTGTCTGTCTAAAGCAGCTCTTATATAATTCATGGTTGAGGGAAAACTCTAAATATTTGAGTGCTGGCTAGTGGTGCGTGCCCATCACTGGTGAAATTGTCATTTCTGCCTGAACTTGCAGAATTCAGCAGTGAGGAACTTTGATGTGCAGTGGAACTGTTCAGATTAATTAAAAATAACCTTTTATTTTTGCACTGAAAATACCTCAGTGTATCCGCAAATAATTCAGCATTCCCATCACAAAAGCAGAACACTGAGATCTAAATGGTGTGAATTAACAGGCAGGTTTTCTTTGGCAAGAGAAGAACAAGTAAATGTGAAGAGATTCTGATGTCTTTGCAAGTTTTGGGGGCTGTGGTATGTGGATTGCTTCACGGTCAGGTTGTCCTAGCAGTGAAGTACTCTGATGTGCATCTTTCTGTCTTGGAATCTTTTTGACAAGGTGAAGTGTTAAAATGCTGGTTTTATTAATGCCTTTGTCTGATTGTTGACAGTACACAGAGCCACCCTAAGAGAAAGACTCCAAGCTGATGCTTGGTAGCTTCAGACCTGACAAGTTGGCAAAACAGGGCTGGGCCAGTGAGACTGAGATGTCTCTCTACAAGATATTAACTTTGCAGAAAAAATGTTGATGGTTTAGAAAGTCAGTGTAGTCTTTCCTGCTGTGGGGCAGTGAGCTTTCCTGTAGCTGATGCTGTGTTTCAGAAGATGCACTTGAGGACTTAGGCTGCTAAAGGTGTTGGAGTTTTTCTGCCATAGCATGGTTTGCTTCTGGTTTTGTTTCAGTGTAAAAGTGCTCGGAAATACGATTATTGCTGTGATGTTCTAGGTCTGTCGAGTAAGATTTACTCTGATACTTCATTTAACCTTTGAGTGTGTTTGCTTGCACATATTGTGTTAGGCAGCAGACTGGTTTTGTAGGTTGAAATCTCAGTGAATGCAAGTAATACACAGTACTCTGTGCCTGTAACTATTAAGCAGGTGGAAAGATGATTCTTTTTCCTGGAAGAGAGATATACTAGAAATAGTCACTTGAGTTCTCACCTTTGGATTTCTGTTTCTTCAGACTGATTATGAGGGACAAGCAAAAAAGCTGCTGGAATTAATGGAAAACACGGATCTGATCATTATTGCAGGAGGAGATGGCACAGTACAAGAGGTAATGCAGGAGTTTTGTCCTGGTTTGTTGAGAATCATAGTTGGGCTGAGGGAGAGAAGATTGAATCTGTGCAATGGAGCAGCATCATGGCAACTATTACTAGAGATTTGTCCAGTTTAGTATCTGTGTTTTCAGTCCATGTCATATCTTCTGGGGACAGGAACACTCTGCTATTTGGTATTAGTCTGAAAGTGTTGATGGGAGTGGCAGCAAAAAGAGTATGTGACATAAATATCCTCCAGAATTTTATTCTAGAATGAGCAGACTATTTGGAGCCACATGGTTCTAACCTCTTCTTTCTGTGTAATGTAGTTGTAATGGTTTAATTTTCAAAGTTCATTCCTATCTGTATACTCCCCAAGTGGAATGCATGTTTTGCTAAGTGGGAATCAGATAATTTAAAAATTACATGGGAATGATAACAAAGCCTGGTATGTATTTAATAAATGCCTATTGTCAAGATGATTAATGACAGGAGCAAACTACCAGCAGAACTGGGGTATAGTCTATTTTTCAAGACTGTATTTTATTAAAGCATTTCCTGGAATGCTAACTCTACATGAAATACAATGATCTTAAGAGGAAGTGGTCAGAATACATCTGCAAGTTTCTCCTGGCCTTAGAATTGATTGTTAATCACACTGTAGTTAATCACACTGACCACTGCTATTTTTGCATTATGCAGAGCACATTGAGCATTAAAACACTTCCACTGGCACTGGTTGTGGTGCCAGCATACACTCATAACCCTGCTGTTCCCACCTAAACAATCCTAGCACCTTCCATAAAAGAGTAGCTGCTCCTTAAATCTTTTCAAAGAGTAGATGTGGTTAAGAATTTCATAGCTTTCTTCTGTAACTGTAAACCAAAATTCTCAGAGCTGAGCATTTCCCATGTTTTTCAGGTCATAACCGGACTTCTCCGCAGAACAGATGAGGTGAGAAAGTGTCATTTTTTAGATTTTGTCTAACTCTTACAGGAAGTGTCTTGTGCATCCACTGTGATCTCTTGGTCTCAGCTTTCTCCTGCAGGTTTGTTGCTCACTGATCTGGAGCCAGCTTGCTGTGCATAAGTCAGCTGGGCAGCTGAGCAGCTATGCTGCCTGTTGCTCTTCCTTCCCTTTCTAAGAGAGTGCAGTGGCTCCCAAGCCGTGGCTTTGGGAAGTTTCCATCATCAGAGCAGGGATTGTTGAGAAGCCAAATGCTCAACTTTGAAAGACCCATGGACCAGCTGTGCCTGCAGCTTTGTTTGGCAGAAGCATCGAGCAAAAGGACATGTTTTTCTTGTGTTTGCACAGGCTTGAAACAGAATTCAGTTATGGTCACACTCCTACTGCTTTGGGATTGCTTTGCTGTTCCTTCAAGCAGTGAATATCTACGTATGCAGATGGCTGCACTAAGCAAATTTTAACCTCTCAAGGTGGATTGCTTCAAATGGAAATGAGGGAGATTTTTCTTTTTAAAGTGGGAGGACAGTGTTATTGAAGAAAGGAGGGAATCAGTGTTCCCAAAACCTTCTGGCAGGAGCTGGAAAAAACTCAATTAAATGATCCAGACAAGATTATGATGATACCCTTGGCAGCTAGAATTGTATCTGTTTAGACATTTGCTTTGTCCGAATGTGACAAGAGGAATGCTGCAAGTAAGCCAGTGCTTTTAAAGCAGGCCTGGCAGTATCAATTCTGAGACATCAGTTTTTTTAATTTAATATTACTATAGTTGGCTCCTGAGACCTCTGTAATCTGAAGATACTGGAAGAAAAGTTTTAGAGGCTTTACTGGCTAGTTTTTATTCTCTGTTTTGACTTACTACCTTGACATAGCTTGGGTTGATTTGTAGCATAGGAAATTCTGCATCCAACACAGTTTCGGGTGGAATAGTGCACTGTAGTATTGCCACTGTGTCACTTCATGTCTTTGGCCAGGGAATTCTTCTTGTCCTTCATATCACTCTGTCCTAGGAGTAGAGATCTGCACTTGAGCCCCCTCTCTCTGTGCTCTGCTTCTCTTTGCCCTCGGGTGTGTCATACGACTGCTGCCTGGGTAAGAGGAGCCTGTGCAAGGGATTCCAGAAACACAGTTCCTAGCAGCCAGGGGAGCAGAGCTTGACTGCATGAGCTGCAAAGAGCCTCTGTCTGCACAGTGTGAAAGAATTCTGAAGGAAATGAGAGAAGGGTGTTTGAGGTGTGTTAAGACTCACAGGTGACAGAGATAGCAGGGGAGAGCAGTTGGGCATGAAGTGAGAGGGGAATTACGGAGTCGGTGCAGATTGGCAGGATCATGGTGCTGCTAGCAGCAGAGCCCAGGAGGGAGATGGTACACTGATATATGGTAGTTTACAATGATTTGCTGACACGCTTCAAGAAGCACAGTTTATTATGAGGTATAGTGTAATAACTTGCTCCTTCAACGAGCCCTTTTGCTGAACTGTGGTACAGGAAAATAACATGGTCAATGGCTTCCAAAAATTAGACCTTCTGCTGCTTCATGATTTGGATGCCAGAGGAATCAATTAATTTCCTTTCCTTAAGTGAGAAAATCTCTTTGCCATGCAAGGTTACTCTATCAGAGGGGGATTTCTGCAGCAGCAAATGAGGTCAGAGCTTGTGGTGCCACCGTCAGCATGAAGAAAGATGGCAGATTGCTGACAGAAGCCATGCATTAGTTGGAATGTGGCTGCCAACCTGCATGTAACAATGCTCTTAATGATTACAGAGGGCCCCTTTGTACCCAGCTGGCAATGGTGGGTTCACAGATTCGGGTGCTACATTCTGTGTTACTGCCTTGTTTAAGGAAGTGCCTGGCTGCTCTGTGCTAAAGGGGTGATACCAGGCACAGCTGTGATCTCCATGCAGGAAGCTTTGCTCAGCTGATGCAAATGTTAATTTACTCTCCTCATGTGTCCAGGCTGCCTTCAGTAAGATTCCTATAGGATTCATACCTCTTGGAAAGACCTGCACTCTAAGCCACACTCTGTACCCTGAGAGCACGAACAGAGTCCAGTAAGTATGACATGTTTCTGGCAGAGGGCTTTTTTGGGTTTGTTTTCAAGGAGCAGTGCTTCTGGTAGGTTGATACTTTTCTTTTTCTTCTGTGTTACATAGAAGTTGGCAGTCTCTGGGCAGAGCCTGATGATTCTCTGGACTTGCCTGAGTTAATGACTTCCAAAAACTGACTAAAAATTAAAAGAAGGAAATGTATGTATTATTAGAACATGAAATCATTTGCTGTGGCTAATTTCTCTGTGATCGTGTGATGTTCAGAGGTTTTTTCAAAAAAAAAAAAGGGATTAGAAGGATCAGCCTCTTAGGAATAGCAGAAATGGTATGACAAGGATATAGCAAGGATGTGACAGAATTAAACAAAAATAAGTCCTCTTTCCATCCCTTCTCCAGTCTAAGAATTCTAGAAACTATATGACCTGGTTAGCACCTGCAAAGTAAGGCATGCAAGAATATCTTTATGGAAAAGGTTGGATCATTACTGACTTTTGCAGGGTTTCTTGCCCATCCCAGTGGTGGGACTGATGCTGGCAGCCATCCAGCAACCTGATTCTTATCGTCAGCATCCTGGATATGGTCCAGTCTGGCAATATCTGTTGCCTGCATTTCAGTTTGTTGTAAGATTGTATTCCCCACTTCTAAAGTAAAAAGACTAGTCAACTAATCCTTCATTTCCCCACACTTCATTTCTTTTCAATTTTTCCCTTCCTCTGCTCTCATACTAATGAATGTATTTCTCCTTGCTCCTGAAATCTCTCCACTCTCGCTCTCCCACTAACTCATTTACATTTTTCTTTGTGGAACCCTTGCTGGTATCCATCATACATAAAACCCACGAGTCAAGTGGCATAACATCCTTCATTAAAACTACCAGAGTGCTTTGAAGCTCAGCAAGATGGACAAGGCTGTAATCAGCAGCTAAGATTAAAATAATAATTTATGTTTGGCGTCTAAAGAAGAGGTTTGAAATGAATGATCTGCTTGTCCCAAGGTAATGAACTGTGCAGGTGAGACTGCAGCATATTGGTGCAGTTGAAGGTAATTTGGTCAATAGGCTGCTTAACAACCTGCACCAGTAACAGAACCTGACTGAAGAAGTTCTGAAATGCTATTTTTATAAGAAGTATTTGGGCTTTGGTTCCTTCAGCACTATCTTACCTTAGAGTATAGGAATTGTAAAGGTCTTCCAGATAAGAGTTAGGAGTGAAGAAGGGCTGTGGGAAGAACAGCTTCCTTACCTGTCTCAGTATGCTAATCCTGATGAAGCCAAGGTCAATATCTCCCACTGATTCATGTGAATATTGGTCTGGATCTGAAAATTCCATTTTTTCCTTGTCCAGCTGAGACACTGGAGATGTATACAATGTGGAATTTAAATCTGACCCGTCTTTGAAAACAGGAAAGGGGTTTTTATGAAGATTGTGCTTCAAGCTGTGAACATAGACTATTTAATGAACTTAAACACTTTGGTTAAATAATCTTTACAGCTTGAAATGACAAAGTGCCTTAACTACTGTCCACAACTTAATGGAGACCAAAATGGCATGAGCACCACTGATAGGTAATTTATGCTGATTAAAAACTTCAAAACAAATTAGCATACTAATGCTGTTCAGTGGCAGACACAAGTGAGACCAATCTTGTACCTATCCCCTTCTCTCCCAGGTTGCTTTACTTGCCACCAGTAAAATAAACCTATGATTTGGGTCCTTAGTGTGTTAAGTGTCTGAAACCTCAGGTAACACAGTTGGCTTATGATTTGTCAGGTTAGCTAAAGAAGGAGGAATCTCTGAAAGCTTAGCTGAGAATTTCCTTTTGCTTTTCATGTATTCTGCTGTTTGTTAGGACACAGGCTTTGTCATGTGTTGCAGCCACCCCATTTGCTTTCTGATTTGAAGGAAGTGCAGCACTTCTCCTTGGGTTGTTACATGTGCTGAAAAAAACCCCCACCTGGACTCAGGGAAAAAGAATGTGAAAAACTGTGATTTTAAACTTACTCTTTTCCTTCCTTCCTGTTTGCTTTCCTTTGCTTTTTTTTCTGTTTGTTTTGCAGACATATTACTAATGCTACATTGGCTATTTTGAAGGGAGAGACAGTTCCACTTGATGTGTTGCAGATCAAGGTAAAAGTATTTACATATATGGAACCCAACATTCCTAAAGCTTTCCCATGCTCATGTTTTTATGTTTCCGTGGACTATGTTTCCTCTGTGTGATGCTGTCATGAATTTTGGTTTACGGTCTCAGCAGTTCTGGTGGCAGTCAGTTCTCCACTGTGTGCTCTGATATCAGGTAGGCTAAGCTGGAGACAACACTAGAATGCCTGGACATCTTTTTTTGAGCCCCAGAGAGTATTGATGAATACAAAACTCACTAACACTGATATTTCTGTGGCAGTGGTGAGAGACAGCAATAACAGTCTGAGCTGATTTAATGCATTCATGTGCATTGTGGAGTTAATAGCTTTCTTTGACAAACCGAAAAATGGGAAATGGGAAAACCTGTGACTATGGTTTTTGAATATAATTTTTCTACTGTGCTGTGGGATGGCCATTTCTGCAGCAAGAGCTTAGTGTCACTGTGCAGAGCTCCTTGCTTTTGACTGGCAATATCCACGAGATGAAATGGCTGTGGCTGGGTGTGCAGTCAGCCTCAGTCTGCCTCTTTGAAACTTCACCTCTTCTGTTCCTCTGCGGAGCAGATGGAATGTACAGTGCTTAAATTCTGCTAAGCTTTACTGCTGTTAGCTGTTTATCATACCTCTTCTGTTGAATTTCACTTTTGGGATTAATCAGAAATCAGTTTTTATGTAGAAATGCTATTTTTCTAGCGGCAAAAAATAGAGTTGGAAACAAGATAAGAGAAAGCAATTTTGCAGTGTTTATTTTTCTTTACAGGGAGAAAAGGAACAGCCTGTGTTTGCAGTCTCTGGTTTAAGATGGGGATCTTACAGAGATGCAGGAGTTAAAGTTAGCAAGTAAGAAAATTCTGGTTTTTGGAACTGTACCTTTTTTAGCATCTGTTGCCTAAAGAGATGTACTCCCCTCTCTTAAAGAAGTCTTTTTTTGAGTGTAAGCATTTGACAGGCAGAGGCTCCCACTCTTGTTAGGTCTCACATTACACACATGGGAGTGTAAGATGTATCAGCATTTTTGCCATTTGAAATAAACACTTTGCTGCTGCTGACCTGTTCTTTTTTAAGTATTTACTTTCTTCTTGCCTTGTGGTATCCACTTCTGGAACTTTATTCCGATTGTATCAGTAGGAAAATCTCTCCCTTGAGTAAAGTCTAAGTAAAGTAATTGGCCATTGTTTTTCATCAACTGCCAATGAAAAGACACATGCAGACTCTGTAACTCAATTCCAACAAGGGACATCAGATGCAGCAGAAATGCCCTTCAGTTCCTGCCAGAGATGGCATGGACCCTGCTGTCTGATAACTGTTCTGAATGCTAAAGTAATAATTATTGGGCTTTCTCCAAATGGACGTTTAACATGCCGCTGTCTGTGTATCAGATGACAAGCATTATCTGGTGAAGGAGCAGCAGGGCCAAAGCAGCTCACTTCCCAAACCCTTACAGGGGAATGGCAGCACGTGTCTCTGTGGTGCAGCTGTAAGGATATACCATGTGCTTTGTGAATAAATTATCTTTGTCAGGAAGGAAGAGGTAACAGACCTCTGGAGCCTGTCTGGTGAATATTTGAGTAGGTTTGAGAGGTGATGTGGGGTGGGGGAGATGCACTGCATGGTCAGGGTGTTTGTCCCTGGCAAACAAGGGATATGCTTGGTAGGCTGTGTAGGTGCTGACTTGGCTGTGCTGCAGAGTCTCCTGCTAATTGCAGCCCCAAGTTTTAGGACTTCTCTTTTCTCTGCACACCAGGCTTCCTGCCCATACCCTGGGTTTGGCCTAGTGTCAGCCTTCACATCTCCTGCAACAGTTCCCTTTTGTAAAAGTCTTTTGGACTCAGTACTGGAGACATGACAGCACCTTTTGTATGTGAAAATGTGTGCTCAGAGTCTGCTTGGAACAAGAACTACATGTGTTTGTCCTGTTTTTATACTTCCTCACTTCATCCACTTTTGGTCCTTTTAAGAGATGAGTTATTGGCCTAATATAAACATTTGGTGTTTCCAGTATGGATCTTACTCTGAAAAGAAGGCACCTACTACAAAGGGATTATATTGCAGGACAGTTCCAGAAATTTGTCTGACTATCCCTCTGCTGAGCACTCTTCTGCTGGAGACTTGGTGCTCTTTTATGTTCTTATTTTACAGACAATTTCATGGCTTGGTGGGAGTGGTAGGACAGTCACATGCCTTAGTAGTTAATGATATACTTAGATCTGCAGTGCTTTTGAGCTGATGGTGTTTAATGTGCTTTGTTGACCTTCTTTGGTGGAAGACAATGATCAAAATGTGTGCCAAGCCTTCCTAAATATAGTCACATCTTTAGATGCTATACAGTGCTGTGTGGCTGGCAGGATTTTTATTTTGTAACACACTGATTTTTGATGTGTCCTTTGGGACAAATGAATGTCTGCTGGCTCTGTTCTTTTGTCACTGAAGCTGTTGATTTTTGTTTGTTTCCTCCAACCTCATGCTTTATTGCATATTGTGGAGATCCATGCCACCAGCTGTTAGATCACAGGCCTTTAAATCATCCCCAGTTGTGTCACATAAGTAGGTAAAATTCTGGTAGTGAGATGTCACGCTGCCTGTAGCGAAGATTGTACACTGCATTTTGGTGATCTGTAACTCAGGAGAGGGATGTCTCTGCTAAGCTGGTGATAGTGTGGGAACCAGCTTACAGTATCAGAAAGGTAAAGGTTGTTGGGGAGCACTGCCTTCAGTGGCAAACAAGTCTGTGTGCTCTGACTTCATGCAAGGTTTCTCCCTTTCCCAGTATCCACGTCTGGATGTCTTTTAAGTTCTATTTGTGTTCTTTTTTCAGGTACTGGTACCTTGGGCCTCTGAAAGCCAAAGCAGCTCACTTTTTCAGTACATTTAAGGTAAAAATCAATTGTGAGGAAAGTGGTTTTGTGTGGGAAATGAAAAGGCTGGGTTTGCTTTGTATAATTTATCTGCAAGTGTTCGTGAAGGATTCTGGTAACGATATAAAATGGGAGTGAAATTCAGCTTGTTAAAAACTCTACCAATTGGTAGACTTACTTCTGAAGAGGTGAAGCAGAAGAGAAATACTTTTTTTAAAATTTCCTTTATTGAAGATCTGTTGCTGCTGAAGATCACCAGGAGGAGGCAGTGACCCCCTGTGAAACCAGTGAGCAGCAGTGGTGGTGAAGATAAGTGCTAAGTGCTCTGTCACCTCTTCTCAACAGTCTTTCTTACAATAACATTTCACTCCGATTTATTCATCCAGCAGAAGGGTCTATAATTAGACTGCTCATGCACATTGATAATCAGGCTTCCTTGTGTAGTTAAATGAACATGAAGATTAAGAGCTTATATCTCACCTTAAACTTTTCTGTTGCTTAAAATTGATCCTGGAAAGATTAAAATTTGACCTGCATGAAAGGCAAGGCATTTTCATTCACATGCTTTTCCTGTTGTCTGAACAGGAGCCTCATGAAAGGCTGTGGAAATACCCAGGAGCTGGTGCAGTAGATCAGATTGTGCAGTCTAGCCATCCTGTCTGTGATAGTGCCAATGCTTCCTTTATAGGAAGCTCCTGTAAAGGGGAGTTTAATTGTAATGTATCTGTGAAAGTTGGGTTTTTTTCCCCCATCCCCAGGAAATTAGAGATGATAATTCTGTACTCTGGCATTCTAAGTAGAAACCTATTCTTCATTTCTCTCCAGCCCCTTTCTCACTTTTGTTGAGTCCTTAGCCTCAGCTAGGGGCAGTGGTAGTGGATTTCACTGGTGAGCTATTCATTGTACATTAAAAAGATCTGTTTAACCTGCTGAAGGCTAAAGAGAAGTGCCCACTTTTTCTGCTATTAAGATAGAAAAGTTTCTACCTGATCTCCACAAATTGTGGTATTCATTGCTTTTTGTGCCTCTTATCATTTTGTTAATTTCTGTAAGAAGTGGCTCCAGCCTGTTGAGCTTTATCTCTTCCTGGCTTGTCTTTGTTGCTGCACACTTCATGTGTTCTGGCTTTGCTGTGGCTGTCCTTTGAAATAGGATGACCTGTAGCTGAAAAAAGGGCAATGGGAAAGACTCACCTCTGATGTTGGTAGGGGCACTGTTATGAGGGTTATCATCTCTAAAATACACAGGCTTAAATTATCACAACATTGCTGCTTTTCCGTGTAAGCATTGATGTTTATTGTTCCTGTGTTGCCCTGCTGATAACAACCTCCATTTGTCCTGTTTATTAGGAAGTATGATAGTGGAGTCCTTCCTTGCTCTCAGAGGTGTGAGGTGAATTAGCTCTATGATCCAAAACTACTTCTAAAGTTTTGTCCACAGAAAAATAATTGTATTGAGTTCATATGGGCTCTTGGCTGTGTTGTTTTAGTGTATACATTTAAAAACCAATTAAATTATTCCCTCCCTAAGTCCTGTGTTTGGAGCATTCCAGAAATTATTTTCAAAACAGCAAGAGGAAATAAATTTTGTCAGCATCTGGAGATACTTCAGATGCTAAGGTTCTTCTATAGCCCTGGCACTGGAATCTAAAATATCACCAAGAATAATGTGTTAGTACTTTTCTGGTTTGTTTTTTTTTTTTCACCCTAAGATGCTTTATGAAGCTCACGTGACTTGCCTTAAGACCTGTTATATTGCTGTCTTCAAGCACCTGACTATCAGGTCAGATCTGGATTGTTTGAGTTGTTGGAGAACAAAGCCCTGCCAGGTTTTATTGCCCCTTGGCTGCACACAGCACTGTGGTCTTTGTCTGTTTGCACTGGATCCTGCTGTGTAGGTGCTCTTTGAGGTTGTCTTTGTGCCATGCAGAAACCAATTGTGCTTTCAGACATTAATGTTGACCTTGCCAGTTTTGGTTGTTCCTCCAGCCAGGAACAGCTGTGTCACCCTACCACACATCAGCAGCAAAGAAAACATTGCTTTCCCCTCTGCTCACAGAGGGGAAAATACCTCATTTCATGTGGGGAAGGAGTAGATTAGTGTACTTGGGAACTGTGGGTAATCTGTTTGAAGCTGCAAAAATGTCATCTCACATATGAATCTGGAGGCTGGAGAGCCACAAGGTAGGCTGAGGCAGTGGTGGGGTCTCAGTGGCTCTGCAGGAGTACTTAGGAGCACAGAATAAATAGGCTGCAGCACTAACCAGAATAAACAGATGGGTGCTAAACAAAATGCCCTTTTCTTCTGTCTTTCCTTTCCATGTAAATCCAAGGAGTGGCCTCAGAAACATCAAGCTGCTCTCATGTATGTGGGTCCAACTGAGAGACCTCCAGAAGAGCCAGAGGAGAAACCATCCAGACCTCCTTTGTATGTGAGGCTTTACAGACGACTGCGGTTATACTGGTCACCTCCCAAAGGTGAGCTCTGCATATTGTGGCATAAACTCACAGGCAGGTTTTTCTCCTCTAAGAGATCGAGGAGGGGGTGTGTGGAGGAGGTGTCTGCTTTACTTCTCTGCTCTCTTTTTTGTTACTATTTATTATTTAAGTATTTTTACTATTTGTTACAACTGTGATTTTGTCAAAGATAGTTGCAGTGGTGTCTGCCAGAAATTGAACAGAGTAGTCATAGAATCATCATAAAATCATAGAATTTTAGGAATGGACCAAATCATCCCATCCCAACCCCCTGCCATGGGCAGGGACACCTGCTAGACCAGGTTGCTCAAGGCCTCATCCAACCTGGCTTTGAACACTGCCAGGGCTGGGACATCTACTACCTTCCTGGGCAACCTGTTCCAGTGTCTCACCACCCTCACAGGAAAAATCTTTTCCTAATATCTAGCCTAAATTTCCCCTCCTTCAATTTGAATCCATTACCCATTGTCCTATTTCTGCAGTTCCTGACAAAAATATTCCTCTCCAGCTCCCTTGTAGCCCCTTCAGATACCTGAAGGGTACTGTGAGGTCTGCACACAACTTTCTCTTCTCCAGGCTGAACAGCCCCAACTTCCTCAGCCTGTCTTCCTAGGGGAGATGCTCCAATCTTCTTACCAACTTTGTGGCCTCCTCTGGACTTGCTCCAACATTTCCATGTCTTTTTTATGCTGAGGGCACCAGAACTGCATGCAGTATTCCAGGTGGGGTCTATAGAAAATACATGTCACCACAGCATCCTGTGGTGGATGCTGGATGTTGGATGTTGGATTCCTGTTTTTTTGGCAGCAGTGCATTGTGTGTTTTCTAAATGTTCCTGTAACTAGCCCAGGAGACCTGTTTGTTCATCCCTGGGCATAAGGACTCACAGGGCTGCCATGTACTGTGCTTGGCAGTTTTCTTTTACTGTGTGAATATTGATGGTGTTTTTTTCTTTCCTTCAGTACACACAAGCTCTCTTTTCCTTTTTTAACATTTTGACATTTTTAAAGGAACAAAACTAGTGGCCACAATGGTTCAGAGTGATTTTTGTGTCTGGCAATGATGTTTCATGCTTCATAGCAGTGAAATGGTGATTTGTGTAATTAAATCCCACTTAATGATATCTTCTCTTCTTGATTTGCAGAATTCCCCCAGGAGGTGACCCCGGAGGACTGGGAGGAACTGAAGCTCTCCACCATTGAGCTTTCCATTGCAACCCGTAACAGGCAGCTTGACCTAACAGTAAGACCATAATATAACTGGATTCCAAATGCCACTCACCCACAGTTTTCCTTTCATTCTGAACTCCTTGTGTCTATATGAGTAAACTTACTACCTCATGCATGGAGAGGCCCATGACTGATCCAGGAATGGGCAACTTTCAGAGCCAGTGTAAAAGCACTGGAGACTCATGTAAAACTGGGAGAGTTTGTACAACAAGGTTTCACTGGCCAAACAGAAGCTTTAGGGTTGCTCTGGAGTAAATAAAGCATCAAAATAGGCAATGCTTTCCTTCTTCACCTGTGTGAGAGTGATTCTGTTTCATCAGTGGTGCTAAAAGGAAGCTGAACCTGAATGTCTGGCTGTAGTTTTGGCTTTTTCTCTTTTTCTGGCTTGCAGAGCAAAGAGTTAAAAAGAACTGGGCCTAGGGAAAGGACAGGGGCTACAATGATGTGAAGGACAGGAAATGTAGGTGATTGTGGAAGAGTAGAACCAGGGCAGCAAGGGACCTGCTGCGGTTGTAATCTTCTCAGCATGTTCATTCATTGTTTTAAAACCTGAGTTTGGCTTATGGCTGTGTTTTGGTGCAATTTTACTGCTGTGAAAGCTATTTGGATAGATGCTAGTCTTTAATTTTACTGTAAAATGCTAACACACTGATCCCATACTGATGAGCTTCTCTTCATGTCTTCCTCATGGCTGCAGGAAACTGTTGCCACTACACCCAGATTAATAGGAGGTGTTGAATTTACTGCAACATGTTTCCTGCTTAGAATTCACGGTCTTTAAGAACATGAATTTTGAGTTGCATCTTGTAGGATCAGACAAAAAAAGCCAAAGAGACAAATACAGTATTTAAAATTTTCTCTAGTTTTCTCCTTAGAATGTACCACATGAAACTCAGTTTCTTCTACAACAGTGGCTTAGGATTTGGACCATCAGTGTGCTAGTAATGGTAGAAGCTAGACAGAGAGTAGTGGTTGGGGGTTTGGTTTTTTACTGGTTTGTAGATGGCACTTGAACACAAGAATTTTGGTTGCTGAACTGGATTGCAGCCTGTGATGTAAAGTAAAAACAGATGTACCAGGTACTGAAAAAATACCTGATTGCCACAAACTAGCCCTTACTCTTTTTGGTTATTTTTATTTGTTTGTTTTGTCTCCTTCATGTCTTCAAGATGTGCTTTAATGCTGGTATTGGAAAAAGAAGTGGTGGAGGGTTTTCAGGTCTCTTGCATAGCCTAAAAAAATGGACAAGTTTATGTTAGGCCCGTTGTACTTTTCTATTTCTAGAGCTGGAAGTATCTTGGTACTGTATCTTCTTTTTCTACAAGTATGGACCCCTTGTAACTGCTTTTTACTCCATTCTGGAAACCATTGTCCCTGTAGCCATCAAAGCTCAACAGCAGCTCTCTCAAATTGATACCAGGGCATATCTGCTGACTACTGTCAGCCACCCCTGTCTCTCCTCAGATTCATGCCCAGACTGCCCTGTTGAAGAGAAGCTGATAAAGCCATACAGATGCAGCTCAGACAGTGCCAAGACTACCTCTGCAGATACAGCAGAGAAATAAACCAAGTTATTTCAATAGATGCATTTATTTTTACTTTTGTCATTTTGATTGCATCTGCACTAGGACTTTTGCCAAGACAGAAATGTTAAAATAAATAAAAATAAATTGCATCTTAATCAAAGTTGCTTTCCTGGAAAAGGCTTTACTGTACACTTGGTTTAAGGGCAGGCTGTAAGCAGGAGATCAGCTAAGTAAGGAGTTTAAAGCAATGATATCAAGGGCACTTTGATTTCCAGTTTGCATTGTTTAAAATTCTCTTGCTGTAGTGTTTGGTGACCAGTTGTCCTATCATTGTACTATTGCTGAAATTCGTGAATGACCCACTGAATAGAAATCAAAGGAGTAAACTCAAGGGATTTGCTATTACCATCTTTAAATGTAACAAGAAGCCAAACGTGACTCATTATTTTGCTTCTTCTGGTGTTTATTGTGGAATGTTCATCAATGAGGAAACGCTGTGTATAATTTATAGAAAAGTATGAAGTGCAGAAATGCATCTTTTGCCTCCTTGGGCATTGTGTGAACATATTGCAGTGTCATGGGCGTGGCATTTCCTGATGTTAACTTCTTGGTTTCTGGATCCTTCTTTTTGCAGCGCACTGAAGACTTCATGGACATTTGCATTGAAGCAGATACTGTCAGCAAAGGACAGTTTGTTCACAGAGGGTGAGTATGGGAAGGCTGTGAGAAGGTGACAGAATCTCTGTATGAGTTGGAACACAAATATACTGGTTTTCTCTGATCTTCTGCTGCAAAATTCAGAAGTAGAACACTGCAAAGGACACCAGTCAGTAATGCTTCATTGGGATTCATGTTTTTCTTCTTTAAAATTCTTACTCATTTTCTGTCAACAAGGCAGAACTCCAGAACCTGCAGTGTCAGTGTCCAGAACCCAGAGTTTTTCCCAGCCTCCAAGTTTGCTATACCTTTCATCTTTTCCCCCATTGCTATGAGTCAGTGCTGCTTGGATAATACTGTCATAACTGAATTTTATAGACAGCCATGGAGACTTATCCCCAGAATCTATCAGCCCTAGCTGCTCAGTGGATTGAGATGTGGATCACAGAGCTGATATGTTTGTACTAGTGATACTTGGAATTTTTGAGCTGCGATTAGACAGTCCCTGCTTCTACAGGATGAGCTTCCTTCACTCAGTAGCTCTTGTGAGACATTAGGTCTGAGCTGGAAGAACTTCTGGAAGGTGTGAATTTAAACAGGGACTTAGAGCAAATGTATTGGTGCTGCTTGTATGTGGAGTAAGAATGCTGTAGGTATGAAGCAGCAGCATGTAGAGAAAAAGTGTGTATTGCTTCCTTTGTGCTTTTAATTTACTGTAGTGCTCTTGTTCCTCCTGCTCTCACCAGATGCAAATCTGAGCTGCCTTTTCCAGCTCCTTCATACAGTCCCACTCGCAAATACATTGCATCTTCAGTGCAGTGTTCACCAGCAACAGATTTTCCTGCTAAATCGAGTGCTCTTCTGCGTGTTACCTTTTTGTTCGCCAGTACTGGTTTTAAAGTCTTAGAGCTCCCTCTAGCGAAATCAATAGCAGCATTTCACACTTGCTTGTCATCACCCTAACGATTCCTGCTTCTGTCTCTGCAGGCCCATTACTTGAGCATCCCATGAACCTCAGTGGGTATAGAATCTTCTGACCCTTCATACACTGTAGGTCAGGTCACCACCTGCAACTGCTTTTAAATTGCATGAGCCTTGTGGACCATAGGTTGCTTGGGACTGAAGTCTGTGCTTTGAAGGCTGCAGAGGGAAAGGAGGAGGAGATTCTCCCATTACTAGCAAGAGGAATATGGCTTCTTAAGGGAGGGAGTCAATGGAGATGCTCTGCTGGGTTCTTGAACACTTTGATAGCAGAAAAATTGTGGATGAATTTGTGCGATTTAAATGATGTGTATTCAAGTGTATTCCCAGTGTAAATAATGTTTCTTGTGTGGACTGTACGTGCTTCATGCAGTAGTAGGGCGTGTTTTCTGTCTGCAATTACAGTGTCATGCCAAAAAAGCCTCTGATGAGTATTCACATTGCTCTGCTGTCTACAGCTAATTAGAGGCAGTACCGAAAGCTTTGAGCTGCTGTTCAAGCAAAGTTCAGAGAAACAAGCTCTTTTGATGAAATAGTGCCCAAAAGTCTGTAGGTGACAAAGAAAGAGAAAGAGGGGTGTATGGGGTGGTAAAGCAGCGGGAGGGACCAGTTAGTTGTACAGGGAGATGTCAGAACAGAAAAAATGTGCCCTGTTTTTGCAAGGCAAAATCAGGGTGTTCAGAGATCCCACAGTGCCTTTGGCAGCTAGGTTTGAATCAAGCCCATTATCAGAGGCTCCCCATTGCCTAGCACTGACAGGGTTTGTCTTTGGAAATGTGTGAAAAAGCTCTTTCTTCTTTTTTTTTTTTAATGCATAGCTAAAACTCCACCAGAATTTGGAGGGTTGAAAAGGTTTTTAGGGAAAATACCTATCAGTGCAGATATCAAGGTTTTTTGTAGTGAAGAGGTCACTGACATGAGCTGATGAGAAGTGATGGGTCACACAGAGGAAACCACACATCCAGCAGGTAACTACCATGCAGGCTCAGGCAGTGTGTGTGTGTAGGTGTGGGAGTGCATCAGAGTGCTGGAGGGCATCTGCTGTTGGGTTTCAAAGAAAGGACTAGGTCATCCCAGGTGTATAAAAGTGCCCTCTGGCTGTGGATCAGATTTGAGTGAACAAGACCATCTGCAGCAGGGGTAGAGCTGATGTTTAAAATAAGGTAGGGGAAGAAGAGGGTTAGAAGGGAGTGCTTCCTAAGAACTGCTGGAGGGAAGGGAGAGCAGGGATGGAAAGTGTAGCATCAGTAATGCACAGCCAGGTAACCAGCTTAGATTCTGTGTGTGCAAGTGTGGAGAGCTGTCACTCCAGGGCATGAATGCAGCTACCAGCCACAGTGCAGAAGACTTTTTGGTAAGGGGTCTTAGTCTGAGTCATTTAACACTGGCTGCTTCTGGACATGAAAACTAGGTTAAAAGTGTGTTATCTGCAGTAGGTGTTGTGATTCTCTCTCTGCCTGTATTGTTGTGATTCAGCATATGGAGTGGGATGCAACAATCAGTTGAGACTGCTGCTGATAGACTTTTGGTCTCATTCCTGTTTCACTTTGTTCTCTTGTCTTGAGTAAAGAGAGGAGTCAAATGGAAATGAATTCTCATCCTTTTCTACTGGGCCACTGGAGGGGCAATTGCTGCAAGTGGAATTGTGTCTGTTTGCTTCTACCAGGGTTCTTCTTTGGCTGGTCTTCAGTTCCATGTCTTGGCTCTTTTGAGCTTACCTTGACCCCAGAATTGCATCTCTATAGAGCTTCATTTGCCTTCATTGACCAAAAAAATCTGCTTGGTCACCAGAGTGCCATATATAGGACCTTGTATGTTAAACTCCAAGCAGGTTAAACTTTTATTGGGGAATCTTGCTGCTTGTTTGTACAGCACTGTATAAACTGACAGTATTGCATGCCATCAATGATGTATAATTCATATTGCTGGAGGATGTTTAATTCCCTCACAGTCACTCATCAATCTTTTAGTATATACATATTTGATTAAAACCAAACTTTCCACAGTTAATATTGCTTCTGTCCTTCCCTGCCCTTTCCTTTGGTATCTTAGCTTTTCTTCCTTTGTCTTTGATTATCATCTCCTGTTTCAACCCTCTCCTCTCATGTTCTTTCTCTGGGATTTTCTGGGATTTTAAGAAGCACTTGCATTCCTCGGGGCACAGAAGGCTTGGTGTAGAGGGAGTTTCTGACATGTTTTTGTGAGTTCTTTTCCTGGGCAATATTTAAATACACTCTTCTTTCATATCAGTCTACGGAATACATGGAAAAGTTAGTGACAGTTAACATGGCACTTGCACCACCAGCTTTCTAAGACAAACAGTTGCCTTCTGTGTGCTCCCATTTGACATCCACAGAAGTAGGAAAGAAAGCAGCACTTCTCTAAGTACAATACATCAATAAGAATCTCACAGGCACCCAGAAGAGAGAGAGTAACTAACAAACATGGCTATGTAATTTGGAGTGGATAAAATGATGATGTTTGGGGTGTTTCTTCACAAGAGCGATATAAAGTTAGCTGGTAAGAAACGTCATGCTGAGTGGTGTTGATGTGAGAAGAGTGAGGGTGTTGTTTGTTTGTGGTTTCAGATGGCAATTTAGTGGTTCGATACTAATATAATTCTAACAGTTTTTTGGGTTAGGGTTGTTTAGGTTGTTATGTGGGTGCATGGGATACGAGGAAATGGTAGTACTTGCAGGAAGTGTACAGTTCAGCATGTAAGTGAGAAGCACAGAACTGTGATACATGCTCAAATTTAGTCAGTGAGCCTCAGAGCAGAAGGTGGCTGGAGGCTGTCAGTGCATACTGATATGTATTGACTGCAGCAAGGGCTATTTTACTTTCTCACAGTTAAACCCACAAATATTTGTATATACACATAACCTCTAAGTTTATGAAATGCATAGTGATTTACCAGCCCACAATGAAATGTGATGCCTAAAGAAGGCTGTTTCTGAGAAATGTGTCCTTACCTTACCTCTCTCTTGGTTTGAACAGAAGTCAAAAGATGCGTGATCCACATATGTGTCCTGAAGGGAGTCAGTGCATCCAAGCCAGCAGATGTATCTTGCAACTTCCAGAGGTGAGAAGCTGAGAGAGCTGGAAAACTCTCTCACTTTATTTCCTTGTATCCAATGATGCTGTACAGTAAGAAATCTCTACTCCAAATCTGAGAGATCGATTGCACTTCCAGTGAGTTATTCAGTTCCACAGTGCAGCGAGTCCCTGGCCAGGAAATACATACTGCAGTTCCCCAAGTGGTCTGTAAACCTGAGAGGGAGCTTCATTCTGCCAGTAAATAGGGGCAGATCTTTTATGATGACAGTAGTGGTGGTTGTAGAGGGTCTTTTACCCAGGTGTATTGCATTTGCACAGGAAGTTCCACCTGAACATCAGAAAGAACTTCTTAACTGTGAGAGTGACCATGCACTGGAACAGATTGCCCAGAGAGGTTGTGGATTCTCCCTCACTGGAGATATTCAAGAGCCATCTGGTTGCAGTCCTGTGCCACGTGCTCTAGGATGACCCTGCTTGAGCAGACAGGTTGGCCCAGATGACCCACTGTGACCCCTTCTAACCTTACCCAAACTGTGATTCTGTGATATGCAGATCTCCTGAGCATTGAAGATGTGTGTATTTTTCCCTAGAAGGGATTGTGCTGTAGAGAAGAAGATAAATATTAGAAGCTTTATGGAGACCAAGGAGGGTGAGACAGGGCAGTGGGGCTCAGATCAGTATAAGGAAGTGTCTCAAACTTTGAATCAATGAGCCGAGAAAGAAGACAAAACTGTTCCCACCAGTGTAATTTAGATTCACCTTTTCCTGCCTCTGCGAAAGAAGAGGCTGTTACCACAGCTCTGGGGAGGACAGTTTCTTCTTTAACAAGGACATGAAATCAATCTCATAGATAATTTCTATCTTCAAGTGATCGATCATTTGGCAAAATAATTTTATATTAAGGGAGAATAGAATGTGCCAAAAGGTTGAAAAAATCTGTTGCTAACTAAGTGAAAATCATGAATTGTGATTTCATGGTTAGCCAACTTCCTTGCATTGAATTCATACCATGGCAGTTTTGTGATTCTGAAAGAATACTTTGGAGTGCTGGGCTAAGTACAGCTGAGCTTTCAGTAAGGGTTGTGGTGTAAGATGAGCTGTTCATGCTGCATCTGCTGCTAAGACTTTTCAGAACATGTGTGCATGGCACACAGCAGTGCTGTTTGGCTCCATGACCTAGCTCTGATGAAGGAACCAGAGGCAGCTCAGATGAGTCTCACTGGCTTTGCAGAGAAGCAGAGTACATTGATCCAGGTGCACTACTTTGCTGTACCTCTGACTTCCAGAACCTAAACTAGTTTCTGTAATCTGTGCTGTTCTGGTCACTTGGAGCTAGTTGGAGTATCCACATAACAGCCCTCCCTTGAGCTGAGTGTGTGCAAAGCAGTCATTGAGTTTCAGGTGAAGTCAGTGCCATTTTGATGAATGGTTTTACTCACTGGTGACTTTATCAGCACTAAAGAAAACACTTAAGAAAATTCTTCTGCTGAGTAATTCCGGACCGGTGAATTACTTTGCATCTCATGTTTCAGATCAATATAGTGAAACAATACCAAAAGGGGTTTGTAACATGGATTTAATAGGAGTTACTTAGCAGGCACTTCTGCAGATTAGCTTGTGTCACCACTGGCAGCCCAAGATCTAAGTGCATGTAATTGTAGTTCCAATAGCAAAGAATCCTTCAGTATAAACAATGTGGATCATTAAAGCTTCCTAGCATTTAATTATCACTAATTAGCAACAAAGTGAGGTAACATCTTATGCAACAGACTCTTAATATATTAGGTGCAGTGAAGGATAGCTCTGCCTGTGGTGTGGAGGGCAAATGGGAGAGGATCGCCTTGGCTGAGACTCAGCTGCAGTCTCTCAGTAAAATCAGGTCCCAGCATTGCTGCAATAAGAGGTTTGATGTTTTGCTGTTGCTGCACACAGGGCACTGAGGGATCCTTTGGCATTGACAACGAGGAGTACGAAGCGATGCCCGTGGAGGTGAAGCTATTGCCCCGGAAACTTCGGTTCTTCTGTGACCCCAGAGTGAGAGAGCAGATGCTCCAGGCAGCAGTACAATGAGAATTCATGGCAAAGTGTTTACCACTCTTACCAGGGTCTCTTCAAGGTGCATGAGACCTCACTAACTTCATTAACCCCACCAGACTAATAAGCCTTTTGGCCATTTTTATGCACAATGTACTTCCATTGGAAGTGGATGATTTGGCTGGTCTCAAAGGGGTTAAAAATGCAAATGAAAATTCTGAGAAATGCATGTTGACTTGATGGCATCTTTTTCTTCCCCCCACTCTGAGAAGTCATCAGTGTTCCATTTACAGCACTGCAGGCTGAGTGCTGTGTGCCAGATGCTACTGTTTGAATGCAATTGTATATTAAAGTAAAAGAAAGCACACTTGTCCTTGTGTTCTGAGAGTTTAGGTCTACTTTACCCATCTATAAATCTGGCAGAACCTGGGATCTTGGAAAAAAAATCTTTTGGGGGGAGTAATGTTAAGGAATTCTATGAAGTGTTGGAATTGCTACATTAAAATAGGGGGTTGGTTATCTACTCTGTCACAAAACAAATCAGAGATCAGTGATCCAAAGCTTCAGAGCAAGTTAAAAAATTCCCTGTATGTATCTGGATATTTATGTCAATTTTTTTCATCTTGCCAGATCTAACAGCACAGAGTTGCAGTAATAATATAGTAGAAATATATTCCTTTGATCAAGTTTACATATATTACACAGAAGCAAATTGGAAAACATTGTTGACCCAAAGCTGTATGAAGTAAGTGTGGAAAGACTCTCTTAACAAGTTGAATGAGTCTTTTTTGTAAGTAGTCCTTTTATTCCTGTAGTAGTGTAACACAAATAAGGGCATCCAAATAACTTTTATTATTCATTGTGTCTGGTTGCTCTTCTCTCATGTAAACAGTGCTCACCACTCCTTATGCAGCTTACATCCCCTTGAGCCTCAGTACCACAATTGGTTTTCTTGCTTTTCTGAGCTTTTGTTTATTGCTTTAATTGCTGAAAGGAAATATTACTGACTTAGGCAAGGTTATCTGTTGCCCTTCTTATAAAATTCACATGATTTTTCCTTGCTGGAAGAAAAAAATCGTTCCTTATTTTTCTAATGTGACTGTGCTTGTCTGTAGTCCTTGTGATCTAGTCTAAGTTCATCTGTTGACTCTTTGCTGTAATCAAAATAAGGACATCAGTGGATTGACTTCCAGCAGCTTTGTTAAGGAACTGTGTCCTGGCTGTGTGCTGCTCCGACAGCATCCTCTGCTGGAGACTTCTTAGGGAAAAATGTCTTGAAAGGGGAAGTAGGGTTGGTTTTCTGCATGATGCTGGAACCAAATGCTCTCCTTTCCTGGACTACACTGTAGACAAACTAACTACCTAAACTAGATCACATTTTAAATTCCTTCCAACCTAACCATTCTTGACCAAGACCTGAGGGAGTGGAAGCCTGCAGGTTCTTTTTAGCACTTATGCTGGTGATAGGGCCTGTTTTGTGCTATCTTTCCTTTGATTTGCAGGAATTAAGAGTGCCCAGGGGACACCTGGGTCATTATCCAAGGAACGTGTTGGCTGTGCTCTGCTCTTTTTGCTTGCCACAGAGACACCTGGAACGTTACTCTTCAGCCACTGCCTCATTCATAGTCAGGGCAGTTCTCACCAATAGAGTTTTCCCTCAAGCTGATATTTCTGTAATAAAATCAGCAATGTGGTTTTTTCTCGAGTGGCAGGAAAGACAAAGCAGCAGCCGTTTCAAAAAGGTAAGCTTTAATTGTATTAAAAAATACCCATGTTTTTAGTAAGCAGTTTCTCTACAGAGCCACAGGCCTATGGGAGCAACCACACATCTGCAAGATGCAAACACCATCAGAGCTGTTAGAACCCAGCCTGCTGCAAGGGGGAGATGAAAACTCACTCCTTGTTCATCTGTACCATTTTACAGGGAAAACAACTCGTTCTCTTCCATAGCATCAGCTGCACAGCTCCCACTGCAATGGGATTCCTTGCTTGAGCTCCCTCCAGAATTGGTATTGTTAATGCTGTTCTGGTGTTAAAGTACCAAGCATCATCTAAGACACAGGCTGATATATAAATATTCATATCAGCATAAGTTGAGTAGCTTGTGTAAATACCATTCAAGTAATTCTCCTTCTTCTGCAGTTCAGAGTTCTTCCAGTGTGGTGTGGTTCTAGACTCTGAATGGCAACATCCAGAGAAGAGGTGTGAGGCAGACAAGCAGGGGCTGAACCTGCCATCTACAGTGTTGAGAAATAGACTGAGTTTTCGTGTTTCTGTCTTAACAGTAACACAAAAAAACCTTCCTTTCTATATACTTCAAGACAGGAAGAAGTAGAATCTTAGGTGCCACTCATGGAAACACTTATCCTGGCTTCAATTTCCAATCCTTTCTAGAAGGGCTTAAAATACTGTGACATAAATAAAAAGGAAGGATAACAACCTAATGATGGACCAGCCCAAGGCACCTGTTTATTTTGACCACAGTTAAACATTCCCATTTGAATGGCATGTTGCATTAACCAAGACCTGAAATCCTGGGTCACAGGCATTTAGCATCCTCTGTTTTAGACAGACAGCTCCACTGTTAAGTCAGTACATTCCAGTCCCTCAGGAAAGACATTTATGCTGTCTAATCACTACACTACTGGCTTTGAGGACGTGGAAGGAAGACAGCAACTAACTCAGAAGTAATGGCTAGGATGAGAGTTTTGGTTAGTGTGCATGCTCCATACCTGGACTTTGGCATTAGGACAGATGAGTGCTCTTGCCCTGCTGCTGCAGAAACCCCTCCCTTTCCACCTCCCAGAGCAAAGCCTGCCTGTCCCTTGCACGGTCTGCCACCCAGAGGGTCACAGCTACTCCAAGCTTTTTGCCCATTAACTCTGACAGTTCTTAGGGGAGGAAATACCACCATACCACTGCTTTGCAGAACAACCAGTGAGCTGCTTCCTCTTGAAAAGGTGACATCTGCCTCTAAGGATGCTGGACAGGTGAGCTGACCTCATATGACAGACAATAGCATTAAGACATATGGCAGTAATTACTCCATATATACTAGAAAAGAAGGTAGTAGCATGTCTATAAGAATGTGAATTCTAATTCCATAAAGTGCCTTTCTCTAGTATCCATTATAGTTCTCAGCTGTGCTTAGCTCTATGCAGCTTGGCCTAACCTTGGAGTAAGAAGACTTTTGGATGATTTAAATGTCTGGCATGGTGTCCCTTGTTCAGATTGAAAACTTAGCTTTTATTTCTCTCCCGAGCTTTACCCTTGAATCCAGATAGTACAAGTAGTAATAATTCATTGCTTGATTATACATTTCTAGTGCAAGTTAAGATGCAGTTATGAAGCTCTTGTGCTCCTGTTCAGACTCAAGACAGTATCAGCTGAGAACCTGCAATGGCTATACAACGACTTGAGTTTTGGAGAGGAACACACTGGACTGTCTGCCAGGGCACGGGATATACACCATTCAGCCTGGGCTCTGATCACAGCACCTGACCAAAGGCATTACCCCAAAGAGACTAAAGGCACCACTGTAAAGGCAAAGTACTTCAAATGGAGAAGAGGATTTCGTAGTAATCAGCAGTATCCTACATTATGCCACACTTCCCTCTTTTAATTCAAAATACACCAAGGAACTGTCTCCCTTCCAGCTGCTAGTATTCAACAAAGCAACTACTGAGTGCCGAGGAGCAGATTTTAAATGTCTGCACTTAACTGTTTTACCTTGAATTATGTTATCTCCTGGAAAGATGACTCAGTTAAACTGGTTCCACACAAAACAAGCCTGATGAACAGGCCTTCAGGTCCCAAGCTGTAACCCTTTGTTTGTATTATGAACCCATTTATCAAGGATTTTCCATATGTGACAACAATAACAGCAGTGTCTTTTAGAAAATGAGTGTGCAGGTGGGAAGCAGTTTTGCAGCAAACCAAATAAGGAAAGGTTAGGAGAGAGAAGTCTTTTTGTTCTGTTTTCTGTCAAGCACCTTCCTGACTTTTGTAGCAGTCACCTGCCAAGAGAGGCTGTAGAGAAGTGAAATTACAAGGAAGAGCAAAATAGGCTGCAGCTATCCAGCTGGGTGTAGCATGGATGCCACTTCTACAGTAATCTGCTTGTTCTGATGCTTCTGCACCCAGACTACTGCTAACAAGATCTAATTTCTGGAAAGCAGAGGTTTAATAAATGTCAAATAGTAATTTCAGGAGGTTCTGCTCAGTGGGCTCTAGCAGTGCTGTCCACTAGCCCATGTTCTAACAGCCTGTGAGCAGAGTGCTCTGATGCAGGGTGTTAGAAAGCCTCTGGCTGCAGAGGTGGTAAAAGTTCAACAATAGATTAAAGGGGTTTCTGTTTAATTTAGCAAAATAACTACTGAGGAAGAGAACCGAAAGTCATTAACAGCTGACCACAACTAAACTATGTAGCAAACCTTCAAGAATGTGAGAGGAAAAATTGCTAGAGATTAGTTTCAGTTCCTTTCTTTTGTAGGAAGGAAGTGACAGCAATGCAATGCCAACTCCAATTCCTCAGGGATCATCAGCACCTTAAAACTAAAGGGGAAGTTAGGGGAGATCATGGGTCACTTTTATACTTCAGGTGTCAATTCAAAAAACAAAGCCATTTCTTCAGGAAAAGAGTGATCTTTCCATTAAGTGATAGCTGGTTTTACCTCTTTATCCATTTCCCCCCCCCAGCCTTCTAAGGATGATGATGTTCCAGTTGTGAGCAATTGGCAATACAAGCAGCAGCTTGTTTTGTTCTGTACAAAAACATCCAAAGCCCTGAAAATTTTCAGGGAAGTGACAGGGAGATCACAGGAACATAATATGCTGAAGCTCAAACCAATGAACTGTGCAATAAGCCTTGTGAGGCCCCTGGTCCCACACCTCACTAAAACTCTGAACCCACAGCTAGCAGAACTACCCATTTGCTGCAGACAGCCTTCAAGGAAAAACAGGACATGCCAACCTCCTCCTTTCCAGGGGGAGACAATTCACAGAGGGTCTACTTGGAGTACATTTGCTTCCTGTTTTATTACCTGTTTTAAAAAGGTGCTCGCCTGCTTTAAAGTGGGTGAGACTGGTGGTTCAGGCTGTCTCAGCCTATAAAATGCCAAGGTAAATAGAGACATCAGCTTCAGTGTGCATTTCCACAAACCACAGAAAGCCTCCACGGGTGCTCAAGTCTATGATAGGAGCAGCAACTAATTAGCTGTAGCCACAGTTCAGGAAGAACAGTTGGCTTAAAGGTGATGCTACTACTGGCTGAAGGATTTGGGGCAAAGCAGTCATGTCGCACCTAGAACCCACAGTACCATGCTTGGATTTTGCATGGCAAAGGGATTGCTCTTTACT